CAAAGGCGGGGGGAGGGGGCTGTGATGCGGAGCTCGTATCTACCAACGCCTTGTGGCCGTGACCGCAGGTGAATGACCTGCATTGATTCAACGGGAGAATGAGCAAGCTCAGGGTCCCACTGGTATAGCAATCTGAGGCAAGTCACTGCACTTCCAAAATTCCCTTATGTCTGGTGAGTAGAAGGGGTAGAGACTACCTGTCTCCCAGGTATAGGATAAGCAAAATGCTTGTGGACTGCAGGTGGGCTATCAGAACGCTCGGCAGCCGCCCTCATCACTGTGGCCCGACAGCGGCAGACAGGGCCCTCCGAGGTCCCCTGGCCTCCTCTCCTAGCTGCTGGGAGCAGCAGGGCCCGCCTGATCCCAGCAGCCTCTCTAGTCTTGGCTCAAAGTCAGATGCAAGTTCTGGGTCCTGTGCTTGGAGCTACCATTTGCTATTAACAGAGTACACAGAGAGAGCTGGCTATCTTAAGATTTTCCAAGTCCTGTAAAAATAATCCAATACTGGTAGCCGGAGGGGAAGAGGAAGGTTAAAAGGAGGGCACACTGGGGAGCTGAATCTACGGTTTTAACCAACAAGCCTGGCTCCTTGAGCAGACGCTGCCAACAAGCCTGGCTCGTCAAGACAGCGCGCGCTGGCCAGGAAACGCCCTTTCTAAAGGACCAATGTCGTTGACGAGAAATGGGCGGAGCAGGGGGAGAGCTGCACAGAGGCTGCAGTCTGAGCAGTCCCTTGTGAAAACTTTGATCCCGGGATAGAACCAAGATAAAAGCAGGAGAGGACAGAAGGCCCCATGCAGGCTGGGCGGGTTGGGGGCGGAGAAGCACGGCCCACGCAGGGCTACACACTGCCCCGCGGCGCTGGTGAGGCAGGGCCAGCACCGTCCCCACTGGAGGAAGGGAACAGAGAAGGAAAGAGAGCAAGGCCATGGCACAGGTCGTGCCGGGAGGAGACAGGTGAAGGGTGCCAGGCAGCCATCAAGTCTGACTGTCCTGTCTGGGCCCCTCCCTCCTGGGCACTGTGCCCTGGGACGCTGTGGGGTGTGGCGAGGCCAGCCACCACCCAGGAAGTGGTTTCTCACCATAGGCCTAGGGATAAGAAAAGTGAGAGGGCTGAAAAAAAGAAATAGATTTCTTATAGAACAAAGGGAGTCTCTCACACACGAGGGCTGGCCACACAGAGGGAGACTCCTACTGAGAATTAGCAAGCTCCAGGGCTCAGAGCACCAAGGTGAAGGCCCCAGTGCTCACATCCTTGAACAGCTAACCATCCTAGGCTAGTCCTCCACACAAGGCCACCCTGTCCTCAGCAAGGACGGAGCCCTCGTGACCTCCCTAGGCAGCGGGGCTCTGCCGAGGTCACGGCAGGGGACTTGGGATGCAGTGGCCAGCTCCTAGGGACGGCGGCCTGAATGGCGCGAGTCTCAGGCTCCCATGGGAAACCCTGCAGCCTCCTCCACAGCGCTGGGACGAGGCAGGCAAGAACGTGTCACGTGCACAGTGGGGGCCTCCCAGGCCTGCTGCAGTCAGTGGGTCCCACAGTCACGCTCACAGAGCCGGGGGCGGCGTGCTGCAGTCAGTGGGTCCCACAGTCATGCTCACAGAGCCGGGGGCGGCGTGCTGCAGTCAGTGGGTCCCACAGTCACGCTCACAGAGCCGGGGGCGGCGTGCTGCAGTCAGTGGGTCCCACAGTCATGCTCACAGAGCCGGGGGCGGCGTGCTGCAGTCAGTGGGTCCCACAGTCACGCTCACAGAGCCGGGGGCGGCGTGCTGCAGTCAGTGGGTCCCACAGTCATGCTCACAGAGCCGGGGGCGGCGTGCTGCAGTCAGTGGGTCCCACAGTCATGCTCACAGAGCCGGGGGCGGCGTGCTGCAGTCAGTGGGTCCCACAGTCACGCTCACAGAGCCGGGGGCGGCGTGCTGCAGTCAGTGGGTCCCACAGTCACGCTCACAGAGCCGGGGGCGGCGCAGGAACAACGGCCACCAAGTCCAACTCTGTCTACCACAAGAAAGGAAGGACAGGAAAAACGAAGAAGGGGCTCCGAGTCCCTGAACTCTGCAGTGCCTGGGGACGAGCGGCCCTTGCACTGAACTGGGGTGACGGGCACGGCTGCCTCACTTGCTGCTGCCGGTGCCCAGTCTCTCACAGCCTCTAGCTGGGACTGCTCACAGCACAGCTCCTCAGCCCACTCCTCAGGTCACTCTTGCTTCTCCGAGATCTCCTGGTTATGTGGTGGCCAGCGTGGCTTGCTGTGACCTCAACCTGGCCACAGCAAGACTCCTTCTGCCTTTGCGGGTTCCCACCGCCCTGATGGGAAAGGCGTGGCTTCTCACCACAGCACAAGGGCCCCTGTGAGTCCTGCCGCACCCTCTAGCATCACTGGCACACAGAGGACCTCACACACCTGCCTTTTTCCTGTTTGTGGCTTGCGACACTGCCCAGGCCTGCCAGCATCTTCCTAGCTGAGCCTCCGTGTCTTTTCCCCCCGACGGGGACATGTCCAGGCCCCACACACAGAACAGGGGAACGTGCCAGGGCACAAGCATCAGGGCAGGCAGCTGTGCCTCCACCACAGGAGCCCCTGTTCCTGCTACAACAGGTCACCGGCCATGCGTGCCGCAGAAGGGCCACTGCTGTAACTGATCGGTGTCAACGCAGGCTCAGTTTTTTTTTTTTTTTACAAAGTCTAAATATCTAGAAAACATTAAGAAATGCATAATGAAATTATTAGCCAATTCAGTCACAGAGCTTTCCCTCTGCTTCAATTCAGGGGCACAGCAACCGAAGCCTGCTGCTCGTCTCACGCAGACGTCACCCCCAGACGGCGTCACCGAGGTCACATCTGCCTCCGGGGCACTCTCCAGCAGCAGGTTTGTGGGGCAGGTGTGCTGAGCCCCAGGCAGGCGCTCAACCCACACTTGTGTGCGCACGGGAAACAGGATGCCAGCCTCTTGAAGGAGGCCAGGCTTCACAGGGAAACACGGAGACTCTTCTGTACTTCTCTGCTAAGAGTGCAAAATCCCAGGGGCCCGTGGGCCACTGGGGTCCTGTTAGAAGGCCGCGTGCTGGAGGCAGCTCTGAGAGCTCAGGTGCGCGTTCCTCCACACTTCTCACCTCACACAGGAGGACGAGGTCACCCTGGTGTGCAATGCAAGAGACAGGTGCAGCCCCGGCAGGTGGCAGCTGTGACATTAGTCAGATGCTGCTGGGTGCCCCAGGAGGGCAGAGCCCCATCTCTCTGTGCAGCCTGGGGCTAGGCTTCCTGCTATTACCTGAGTCCCAGAGTGAGACATCCATGAGATTCCAACTGGGCACCAAGCACACTGCTGTATCTGCCACTGGGTGCCGCTGATGGTGTCAGATCAGCGCAGGCCTGCCTTGCTTAAACCCCATGACCCCAAGCAAGGAGACCAGCTCCTCCCCAGGGGATTTCCTGGCAGGAGGTCCAGGAGCCTCCCAGAGTCCTCCTAGCAGAAAGAACAGAGGCACCAGGGTCCCATCCGAGAGACATACAGGTCAGCACCCAGGGCCCCTCCTGTCCCCACCCAACAAGACCCAAGTTATCACCGCCCACCCTACCCCCTTGCAGGCTGGGACTTACAGGGGACACTGTGTGACAGCTCACGACACCTGGCTGAGACTCCATTCCCTCCATGCAGTGCCAGGGGCCCGTCTGAGAAATGTAGAACTGAATGAGCTCACGGCCATGGAGCGCTTGGCTACAGCGGGGGCCGATACTGGACCTGCCTCCTCCTCCTTTGTCCACTCAGTCCGCAAGAACTGAGTAAACCCAGAGCTCTGTGGGGAACACCGCCTGCCACAACCCTGCAGCTCCCACCCCTGCCTTCTCTGCGTCTCCACTGCAGGCTGTGCCAGGCATCCCTGAGTTCTATTCTTAGTGTCTGGGAGGCGGGACTTCCTGTTTTTATCAGACTCCTTGGAGTTAGTGGGCCTACCAGGCCCAGGCTCACTCAAGTGCAAACGGAGGCACTGCCTTGGGTCCTGGAACCTGTGTGTGTGTGTGTGGCCACAGTTTCCTCTCCATCTCAGCACCCTTGGGGCATTTCCCACCCTTGTCCCTGCGATCAATCTCTGGGCACCCCCGCCCACCCAAGGCCATCCCTGATTGCCCTTCTGAACCTGGGGTGCGGGGCTCTGTGCTCTGTCCAAGCTCCAGAGACTGCAGACTCCACTCCACTTCCTGCTGGACCGGGAACCACACCGACACCCTGCCTTGGCCTCTCAGCCTCCCAAGGGCCTCAGGGAGCACAATGGGACTTCAAGCAGCCTGCGGAAAGTGGAATGAAAACGCCTGGTGCAAAGAATTTTGACCTCTGCACAGTCTTTTTCTCAGGATACGTGTGTTTCATGAACTCTCTGAAGCCTGTTACATGCACGGAGTTCAAAAGTCTTCTACAACAGACTCATCTTTTAATGCCACTGGCCACGGACGATTGGAAGCCTCAGGCAGGAGCCCCTGAGGACAGCTGGGGCGCATCGCTGGGTAGCAGCCACGCTCCAGGCGCTGCTCTTGAGCTTGGAGCAGGCTTGGACAACTGACGAAGCGCCCTTCATCACACAGACCTTCTGGAAACTCTCCCGGTCATCTCCACACCTCGCCAACTTGTGTCACCTAACTCCCGTTTCCCGGACAACTGCCTCGCATTCCCAGCCGTCGCACGGCAAATCTCCCCGGCCGGCACTGACAGGCGGCCGTCAGGACCCGTCTGACGCGCACGTGCACACCGGCAGTGAGACACGTGGGACTGAAGGCGAGAGCAGCACCAGCCCGGAGACAATCAATTTTCCCGGCCCCGAATGCCCACCCCCTCCAGTGGGGCCTCTGAGGCAGTCAGACGTTAAGCACAGGACAGGCCCCGGGCCCCGGGCCCTCACCACGGCGCTTCTGAGCACTCCGTAGCTGAAGCTCCAAAGCTCAACCCGCCCGGGCGCTCGGCGGTGCACAGCTGTGCAGCGTGGGAAGGATATGATCGCCCAGTGGATGTCCAGCCTGCTGCTGATCTCCAAGCCGCGGGCCTCCTGCCGCTCCTCTGCCAGCTGCTTGGGGTTTGCAAACTGCCCCTTCTCCCCAGGGGACTCGGGGACGCTCTCGAAGCTGAACTTGTCCACTTGAATAGCCATTCTGCAAGAGGAGAGAAAACACAAGAGAGCATGCATCAGGAGGGCAGCTTGTGCTGCTGGCGTGGGCGTGCCAGCGTGAGACAGCCTAATGAGTCATTATCGTCAGCAATTCAAAACAGACGAGACAACTCCCAGGAAAGGCTCCCAAGGTGGCCCTGACCAGGTCGGGCCCGACGCACCACGGGGGCCTGGAGACACTATTGCAGGTGCAAAACATGCTGCCCTGGATGAGCGTGGTGGACAGGACCCAGTGCGTTGTGGACAACGGGCAGTGCCTCAACTTGGAGTCCTCTGTGGGCCTTCACAGAGAATGCTGGGACTTGGTAACCAGGGACCCCCAAAGCCCACGGGGAAACCCCTTCAGCTCTGGGCTCCTCCCATCATGTCCCCAGTGTGTACGTCCTCCTCCAGCCAGAGGGACTGGTCAGCCCCCCTGCATGCCCACAGCTGCCACAGCAGACTTCTCACCCAGTTCCCTGCACTGTGGACCCCTCTGGTCTCCTGAGCCACTGTCATCTCCACACAGCTTCCCCTCGGTGGCTGTCTCGCCCCCTCAGCGCCTGACCAAACATCCCTGGAATGTACCAGCTCTCCCTGCCATGGCCTCAGTCCTTGCCGCCTCTTCTCCTGCACCCTGGACTGCAGGACTGGACAGCTGGGACCTGCCCACGCGAGTCCCCAGGGTGTTCTCCATCCCCTCACTTTGCTCCCCATGGCAGCGTTCAACGTGCTTCTGGCACAACAGCATTTATTAGGAACCGGAAAACACATCTTTCAACTTGTAACCTGCCCTTCAATTCCACTGGCATTTGGCTCCTGAGGGCAGAGACCCTCTTGGTTGTGTGTCTCAGTTTCCCGGGCCTGGAATACTGCCTGGTGCTGCAGTAACTCGACTCTTAGCAAGATGAACACGTGAACGAGCCAGTCACAAGCCCTCCCTGACATGGCCTATGTTAGCACCCACTGTGTCCCGGGCTTCCCAGCACAGGCCCTGGCCTGTACAATGCAGTCCATGTGTCTGCCTGCTCGAGGGACCTTTTGTCTCCTCTGCTAACTCCAAATCATAACGCGCAAGTAGGCAGAGGCCTTGTCTCACCGATGTCTGAAACCCAGTGTCTTAGCACAAAGTCAGGCACACAGTAGGTGCTTACTACACAGTGGATACAGGGAGACAGGGAGGAAGGGGCATGCCTTCGTGTGGGTTCTCTAATCTGGCTCCACCTGAGAGGCCTGCGTCCCTCCAGCGAGGCGTACAAGAGGAGCACGTGTGACCGCCAGGACACTCAGCGGGAGCGTTCCCAGTGCTTCGTGCCGGGACCCCAAGAAGAGGCCTGGGGAGCCACGACCGCTTGGGGAGCACCCAGAGCACACAGGGCGTCTCGAGCACTCGCCACAGCCTGCAGGGGAGCACCGGGCACACACAACAGCACCTGTGCTGGCAGTTTTTTATGTTTTTTGCTTGTTTTTTGTTTTAATTACCTTAACTTTTTTTCTCTCAATTACTAAGGTTGATGGCTCAGTGTAGAAAGTCAGAACAGAGAAAAGTACGAAAAAGAAAGCAAAAACACACAGAATCTTACACTGCAATGTAAGCAACCTGATCCCACGGTCTTTGTCTTCAGTGTTTGAATTTTGACAAGTTAAGCCGTGATATGTACACTTGTCAATCATGGTGCATGCATTGTTCACACCCACACACCCACAGCGCAGGTACAATTTTCAGCCTTGTTTTATTCTCTTAATACACTATGTCCGTTCTCACGGCACCCATCACCATCCTTAACAATTTCCCTACTTTTGGACCTTTCGGACTCAGATCACTTCCACTACAAAAAAATGACAATTATAAAATGTCCTGGGCAACAGGACTCTGAGGGTTTATTTCCAGGGCAGACCTGCTGACTTGGGTGCAGCATGCGTCAGGTGTGGCCATGGTCTCCCCATCTATTTCCAGGTCTTTTCTGAGGTCCACTGGCCCCGGTGTGGTGTGGATGGGCCTCTCCCTTCCCGCCGGCCCCTTACCAGCACTGGCAATGACCAACTTTTTCATCTTTGCTAGTAAAAGATAAAAAAGTGCCTCATGGATGCTTCAATTTGCGGGTGTGGATGAGCTGAGGTTGAACATTTTTCCAGAATACCCATTTTTCCACACACCCTCCCCCCACCCCGTGAGTTCTCCCACCCAGCCAAGCTCCTCTTGTTTCCCACCACCAAGAAGAACGAGGCCAAAGAGCACACTCTTCAGAGAGACGGTCGGAGGGTCTGCTGAGCTTCGCCCAAAAGGCCACTTGGAGCTCACTGGCTGGGTATCCAAGAACTAAGAGCTTTCACCTCGCAGCTGGGCCTGCAAACAGCGTCAGACGGAGAGGCAGCCACAGGCAGCCGCCCGAGTACTCCCGGGGCCGTGGGCCCTGTGGCTGCTTCGAGTGGCTGTCTGGGGTGTCTTCGGAACCACTGTGAGAAGAGTGAGGATCGCTCACTGCCGTGCCGTCTTCCACCCTCAACAGCACCACAGCCAAGTGTGCCCCCGGAGCCGCAGAGGGCAGAACGCGAAAGGCAAGGAGCACCTGCCACCTGCCACGTCCTGCACACTGCTCCCTGACCCACAGCAGCCCAAGCTGTGCAGCAGAAGCCATGGGCCAATGTCACGGAACCATGCCACGTGCCCAGGCTCAGCCCTGCCCTACTGTGCTGTTTTAACTTGCTTCTCCTGTGGTGTGGCAGAAGGTCCAACAGGAGACTGTCTCTTGCTCAGACTGTGTGCAGTGCAAGTTCGGGACACACAGCTGCCCTCTACAAACGCACAGCAGCCCTCCACGCCCCGTCCCCCCGCAGCCCTGTGATGGGCAATGCTGGTGGGCATCCCAGGGGCAGGATCCCCTTTCCTAAAGTGTCAAAACTGAGCAACTGGCCGGCACCGCAGCTCACTAGGCTAAGCCTCCGCCTAGCGGCGCCAGCACACCGGGTTCTAGTCCCGGTCGGGGCGCCAGATTCTGTCCCGGTTGCCCCTCTTCCAGGCCAGCTCTCTGCTGTGGCCAGGGAGTGCAGTGGAGGATGGCCCAAGTGCTTGGGCCCTGCACCCCATGGGAGACCAGGAGAAGTACCTGGCTCCTGCCATTGGATCAGCGTGGTGAACCAGCCGCAGCGCGCTGGCCGCGGCGGCCATTGGAGGGTGAACCAACGGCAAAGGAAGACCTTTCTCTCTATCTCTCTCACTGTCCACTCTGCCTGTCAAAAAAATAAAAATTAAAAAATTAAAAAAAAATTAAAAAAACTGAGCAACTAAGGAATGCAGAAATTCACCCAGGGTCATCCACACTGGATACGGCCTGCCTCTAACAGCCAAGTACCATGCCCCAAACCAAAGGAGGCGCTGCCCAGCAGATCCGCCCTGTAACCACACGGACCTGGAGCACAGTCTCCAAAGCCGACGCCTCCTGCCCCTCCCCCCCTCCAGGAAGGGCAATTATGGCGCACGAGGGCTCCCGAGGAGGAGGTCTCCATGCGTGAGGCACTGCGGGAAGAGACTGCCTAGCCACACATGGCTGTGGCAAGGGCAACTGGATCAAAGGGGGTGCCCGTGGCCCCGCTGCCTTCGCGGGGGACTCGCCGTAAAGCCGACCACACAACTGGCAGGAGGGCTGAAGCCATCGTGCTTGGAGGCTGTCACTTCCGTGGCCAGCAGGGCTCCCCGGACATGGTGGCGGCTAGAGAGATGAGCATACAGACTGGGCCGCAGCAGGCTGCCCAGAGAGGAAGCCGCTTGCTGACGAGGGCTCCCGGGGAAGAGAGGGCTGGCTGTGTGGGGAACTTGGGTGCTGAAAGCCGGAGAAATCCAGAGCAGTGAGGGTGACAACCCCCTGCGGCAGTGGCCCCTCGTCCCCCCGGAGGGCACCGAGGCAGCAGTGGTGCCGAGGGCAGAGCTAGGGCTTCTGAGCCAGCCACGGGGCTGGATGCCAACAGCACCTCCGCCCGGGCTGACCCGGGGCAAGGTCTTTGTTCTCGTGGAGCGTCCCTGTGGAGTTGCATGGCCTGCACCGAGAGGCGTGGGTGAGGGGACTCTCGCGCTCTTGGTCAGTGCCAGCAACGCGAGCTGCCGCACCAGCCCAGGCTTCGAGACCAGCGCCTTGACAACTTGGAGACCGCTGTCTCAACTGGCCAGCAAGTTTTCACAACAAGGAAGCTGCAAAGCCTTGAAATTAAATGAAAGCCAGGCCTCACCATGCCTGCTGCAGCCTCTTAGAGAAGCCCCAGCCCTGCAACGTGGGTCGTGACTGCGCACAACCTGGGTTCAGCCTGTACACACAGCTGAGGCCTCTTATTGGGTAGGGTAGCGCTGTGGTACAGCAGGTTAAACCACCACCTGTGGTGCTGGTATCCCATATGGGCGCCAGTTTAAGTCCCAGAAGTTCCACTTCTGATCCAGTGCCTGGAGGGACAAAGTGCTTGGGCCCCTGCACCCACATGGGAGACCCAGGAGAAGCTCCTGGCTCCTAGCTTTAGCCTGGCCAAGTCGCAGCCATTGTGACCATTTGGGGAGTAAATCAGCAGAGAGAAGCTGTCTCTGTCTTTCCATCTGTAACTCCACCTTTCAGATAAATGAACAAATCTTTAACACACGCACATACACACCAGAGAGTATGTGCACAACCCACACTAACAAGTGTCCAAAGAGTAATTAAAAATGTGGCTGATGATGCCGGCCAATCACAGCACAATCCATGGGAATCACTGGAAGGAGGCTGAGCAAGCCCCCACGTGACTGGCAGCCATGCACCTGCGGCCTTTGCAGGGACGGTGTTGGAGGCGGTGATGCGTAGGAAGCCTTCTGAGGGGTGGCGGCACCGGCCTATGCCCGGGGCTCTGCCCACCATGCCAACTGTCCTGTGAGAACTCTTGTTGCCTCAGCGGTTTCTGCTGGTGGTTCTGATTGTTCACAGAGCCAGGGCATTCTGACACGGAGAAGAGGGAGCAGCCAGGGGTCAGCACACCCACAGCGTG